TATGAACACCTTTAAAATATTTAAACAAATAAATACTAACCTTATCGACCTCCCACCATGCAGGATAAAGTTTAGCTTGTCCATTAGCCAACACATATGATTCCTGTCGTTGATTCTTCAAGTGAACTACGTGAAAAGACGTCAGCATAATTGTATATCGCATTTTTTTTATATTTTTCTTCAATTTCCTTACAATTAGAAGACGTGTCACCCATGCATCAATATGCTGTTTTACAAAAAAAGACATATATTAGTGAATTACATAAATTTTAAAAAAAAAAATTAATCAAACTGAAATATAAGAAGAAATATAAGACTTACCCCCCCCCCATCGAAATAGTCGTTGTCTTCAACCCCTAATAATACACCCCATCAAGACCGTTCAATCAACAAATGCATATCATCGTTGAGTTTGTATATGTCAGTGTAACACCCTTGGCTCCGCTCATGTAGATAAAAATCAACTGCGGTCTTAGCCCAAAGGGTATTATCCAGAATTATTTCTGGTAGTTGTTTCCTCTCAACTTCTTTTGCCGGAATGGTACTGGCCGGTAACTTATACGAAAGCCAACAGTCATCCATCATGTCCGGCACGTGAGGGGCCTTCTCAATAATTCGATATATATTACGCCGTGTGAATCGGGCTCTAGAATGTTGGGAGGGACCTCTTCAACGATGAAAATGGCCTCTTGAACGGTGGGAGGGGACTCTTGAGGGATGATAGGGGCCTCTTGAACGATAGGGGAGGCCTCTTGAATGATGACAGGTGAGTCAGGCTTTTTCTTACGGATTCTTTGCACTATTGGGGTGAACGGAGACGTAATGGCACGTGCACACCGTCTGATGCGTGAACTCCGTCTTGCAAGAAAAACCCGACGTAGAGCATCCACCTTAGCGGGCCGCTAAAAATAAATTAATACATAAATCAGTAAATAAACAGACATGATATTAAACAGTGAAAACAAAGACAAATATATTTCAAACTTGCACGGTATTCACCCAAGTCATTATTATATCATTGTTCACAAAATGCATCAGATAGCATTCCAGAAGTAAGCACTTATATAAACATTTAAAAGGACAACATATAGGTTTAGTGCAGGTTCAATGACAACATAAAGAGTAGTAGTTTATTCTTGAAACTTAAATTTTCAACACTGTGAAGTTAGTATTTGTCTTTTGGTTGAAGTAATACAATTCATTCAAGTTTCAATTTGCAGAAGAATAATAGAATCTGAAACTTAAAATCGCAACGCGAAAATGACTATCGCAACGCGAAAATGACTATCGCAATGCGAATTTGACTATCGCAACGAGAGAATCGCAATGCGATTTTCATTTCGCATTGCGATTCTTTCATTGCGATAGTCAAATTCGCATTGCGATAGTCATTTTCGCATTGCGATAGTCATTTTCGCATTGCGATAGTCATTTTCGCGTTGCGATTTTGTTGTTGCGATTTTCATTTTGCATTGCGATTCTCTCGTTGCGATAGTCATTTTCGCGTTGCGATAGTCATTTTCGCATTGCGATAGTAAACTATTCTTCTTCTGCAAATTGAAACTTGAATGGATTGCATTACTTCAACCAAAAGATAACCAAAAACAAATACTAACTTCACAGGGTTAAAGAATAAACAGTTAAACAGTATTGGCAGCAACCGAATGAATTTACTAAGCAATCTAAGTGAAATTACGAGTAAATTTATCATCAAGTTAAATATGAAAAATATTAAACTTACCTCGTTGCGTAGAGTATGAACCTCGTTCTGCAACGATGCTACAACCTCACGTAGAGCTGTTACCTCACCACGTAAAGTATACACCTCAACACGCCATGCACCATTGTCATTGCGTAAAGTACCGACCTCCTCACGCAAGGCATTGACCTCATTACGTAGCTCCCCTAACTCATCCCGTGGAGGTGGAGGTGGAGAACAGGGAGATAAACGTCGTGGCATCTTTGCCGGTCGCCTATCATGAGGTGATGGTGGAGAAGAGGCTCGATGATGTGACAAAATAGGTGATGACTCTCGTTGTGGAGGTGTATATTCTGGTCGATCAGGTGATGGCTCTGGGTGAGGTGATGGCTCTCGAAGTGGTGGTTGCTCATCATCCGTGCCATCAAAAAAAGGCTTACTAGCTTGCCACCAATCAGTGGCAAGCTCAGCTTCCGTGGGTGTCAGCCTCTGTAATGGAGTGTTGGCCTCCTAACAATATAAAAGCACAAACAAAGTTAAACGTGTACTAGTAATAACTTGTTTATAAACATATGGTAGTATTTGTGTTAACTTACATTATTTATTGTAGTATACGGTAGTAAATCTTCCCATTGCTGCAAGGACCGTTTCCTCTTCCAGGAAATAGCCCTAGGAATATCATTAGAAGTTTTTAATTCATATGTCTGCATGGCGGGAAAGGCCTCAAATATCCAAATCTACAAACAATATAATAACAAACATTAGTAATTGTTAAAGAATTAATTATAATTTTGGAAACATTATATAAAAATTATTACCTTAAAGGCCCAAATAAAGCCCGACAAAGTGTATTTGGAACCATCGCCACACAAACTTTTACGATCATCAAAGGCAGACGACAACTTATTCCATGTAGCTTTCCATAGATACGAACCCCACGGAAACAGGTTCCATGCATTTAGGTCCTCTACCAATTTAATTAGATCATTAGGAATAGGCTGTCAGGCCTCTCTGCTTAAAAAGCCAGCTTGCAAAAGTATTAGAAGGCATACTCGGACAACATCGACGTCATCCATCCGAGTAAAACCATCTTTCTTATTCAATAATCTCGTCAAGTCTTCCACATGTAAATTCGACTTCTCCGTTGACAGCTCAGGAAAAACCCGGGAAAACCATGATAGGCGGGTAATATGTCTAGTGTACCGATCTACATCATCGTGTCCGAAGCGTAGACCGGTGATTAAGCAAAACTCCTCCCGCCCAAAACACGTATACGCCGGTGGAAAATCAAACCATATCTCTTCATCACAACGTTGTATAGTCTCTTGTAGATCGCTAGTCATGGTTTGAAGAAACAGATGGGTCAACATAGCATCTCCACCCGGATGTTGTACTTTTAGCCATGGCCCGAAGCACGTATCCTCAAATATTTTTCTTTGTGCAGGTGAAAGCTTCGACGCAATTGTTTTGGCCAGGCTTACTTTATTTCTTAAGGTCAATTGAGCCGAATAAAAGTTGTGCAAAAACAATAAATATACCAATTTAGATATACCAAAAATTACACTGTGAAGATATAACAAGAACAATAAACATAAAGAGTAGTAGTTTATTCTTCAAACTTAAATTTGCAACACTGTGAATTTAGTATTTGTCTTTGTTTTTTGGTTGAAGTAATGCAATTCATTCAAGTTTCAATTTGTAGAAGAAGAATAGTTTCTGAAACTTTAAATCGCAACACGAAAATGAAAATCGCAACACGAAAATGACTATCGCAACGCGAATTTGACTATTGCAACGCAAGAATCACAACGCGAAATGAAAATCGCAACGACAGAATCACATTGCGGTAGTCATTCTCGGTTTCAAATACTAAAATTGAAAGAAACTTGAATGGATTGCATTACTTCAACCAAACCACAAAACAAAGACAAATACTAACTTCACTGGGTTAAAGACTAAACAGTTTAGCAGTATTGAAAGCAATCGAATGAATATAATAAGCAATCTAAGTGAAATGGATAATCTATTATTGAAAACGCCAGTAAACTTATCATCAATTTCAATATGAAAAACCTAATAATAATGCAAAAATTTCAAAATAAAAATAATTAAAAACATTAACCCTCGGTGGTTGATTTGGTTGATTTTCCATTTCTGACCGTGAATGATTTCGCCGGAGATGGAGATTGATATCGCCGGAGATGGGGACTGATTTCGTCGGAGATGGGGACGGATGTTGCCTTAGAGAGTGAGAGATGGAGATGAGACTGAGTTGTGATTTAGGGTTTTAGGTTATGAGTTGCGATTACGAGATATAATGTGGACGGTTCAGTGTTCCGATATATTAATATATTCATGTTTGGAATTTGAAAAAAAAAATACGCGTTGGATAAGAATGGCGCTATGTAGATCGCATTGCGATAGTCAGATTCGCGTTGCGATTTACATATTCGCATTGCGATTTACGTATTCGTATTGCGAATTAGGAAAATCGCAACGCGAATTTGGAAAATCGCAATGCGATAGTCAGAATCGCGTTGCGAATCTGGAAACTGATTTGTGATACCGGAGATCGCGTTGCGAATTATCGATCGCATTACGATTTAGTTGGTCATTTTAGCAAATCTAAAAAAATTGATTAAAATTATATATTATAATACATTTTTTATCATTGAGGTTATTTTCTCATTACGTTATCTGTTAATCAACTAATTACTTTTACTCGATAGCGAATTTGGAAAATCGCAATGCGATAGTCAGAATCGCGTTGCGAATCTGGAAACTGATTTGTGATACCGGAGATCGCGTTGCGAATTATCGATCGCATTACGATTTAGTTGGTCATTTTAGCAAATCTAAAAAAATTGATTAAAATTATATATTATAATACATTTTTTATCATTGAGGTTATTTTCTCATTACGTTATCTGTTAATCAACTAATTACTTTTACTCGATAGCGAATTTGGAAAATCGCAATGCGATAGTCAGAATCGCGTTGCGAATCTGGAAACTGATTTGTGATACCGGAGATCGCGTTGCGAATTATCGATCGCATTACGATTTAGTTGGTCATTTTAGCAAATCTAAAAAAATTGATTAAAATCATATATTATAATACATTTTTTATCATTGAGGTTATTTTCTCATTACGTTATCTGTTAATCAACTAATTACTTTTACTCGATATGAATTATTTTAACTAAAATTAAAACATTGAATGTTGAAATACTCTAATGATAATTGGCCTCAGAAGTCACACGTAAGCAGCCCATTCATCCAATGCTCGGACAAGGTGAAGGTCCATAGATTCGAATGTCCCCTCGCGAATGGCGCGTCACTCTTAAACCCAGAGTCTCCACGTTACCGGTGTTTTCGAAGTTTTTTTTACAAGATGATCTGTTATTTATTTTTATATATTATTATTTTTCAACCACCATTTTGCAGTTAATTTTCTCGAATGGCCTCTGATCTCTCCATCAAATGGAACTTTCAGTCGTCACGCGATCTCATCCATCGTCTTTAAATCTACACCGTTTCTCTTCTTCTACGGGACTCGCTCGATCCCAAATACGACACGAATCCGTCGCCGTTTCATCTCCTCGGGTTCGCGTCGCTGCTTCTTCGAGCTTCTACTGTCCGATCAGGTTTCAGTTAAAATGGTCCAGAAATGTCCAGAAGCGAAGGCGACGATCAGGGTACGACGTCTTTAGAGCTAACGCCGCCGATGATGTTAGTAAATAAACATTACCTTGGTTTCTGAATCTAATAATTTTCCATTTTGCAATATGGTTTGTGGAAGGTTTAATTCTGTATCAGTCCCCAAACTATTTACTTTTTTTAAAATTTAGTCATATTTTATACTGCTAGGTGTTTGTTTTGATTAGATTTGAATGCGGGGCATTTCGATATTTACAATATTAATTTTATGAATTGGATAAACAGGCAGGGGAATCAAATTATTGATATTAAAATCAGAATGCCTAAATTTTGAATTTTCAAAGTGTACAGGGACCGAGAGCTTAATTTGATCTTTATGAAATGAATTTGTTAGTGTAATGATTGGTTTTTTTTTTGGGTTATTGTTTTAGGATCCGTTTGATGACTGGGCCATTGACGATACAATGGCAGGTTACATGCTTTCATCTGACGGGGAATACAGCGACGGGGATTTGGCATTAAATTCTTTGTCCGATGAGGATTTGCCTCTCGAAGAAGCGCTAGCCAAGGCTTCCCATCGGCTTGCTTCGCGTGGAAAAGGCATAAAAAGACACAGGCAAGATCTTTTACCAAGTTTCTGATGCTACAATTCTATAGGAGCTATCGTATTATGCATTTTATACAATGATCAAATTATTTTACGAATTAAAGAAGCAAAGTTGGCTTGAAGATACACATCTCGAAATCATCAAACTATGATACAATGACCAAGTCCATAGTGTTGATGGTTTGAGTAGAATCTTAAACTCCCCACGCACTGTTGATCGTTTTCTTCATTTCTTTTCTCTCTTTCCTTTAGACTATCATCGACTATTGTATGTTCCAAACTATAAATTTTATTCCAAAAGGTGAACTTCTGAAATTTTAGTAATGGACGAACTTGTAAAATTTTATGGGTGCGAAAACTCATTATCAATAGAAAATAAAGAAAATAATTAAAATATAATCCGTCCTTGAGTGCGGTTCTCGATCTGATGCATAGGGGGTGTACCGCGTAATATCATCATCTTCCTAATCAGACCATCAACGTATACACGATTGGACCATTTCTTATCCATGAACTTCATATTTGTAAGCTGTTTAGGTGCATTAAATATCCTTTTAGGCATTTATTGATGTATTGTCCAACTTAACTGCAGGATCTACCCTGGGTTGATTTTGAACTTGACTCTTATAGTCTTCGTGACAGTGGTTCTTTTAGTTGTGGATTGGTGTGGATGGAAAATTGTCAGGCTACCTTTGGCTCCATTCTACTTGACTTCCCCATTTTTTATATCTTTGATCTTAGCTTCATGTGCAAGCTACGTCGGTGTCCCATTGCTTAGGATCTTTAAGTTCCATGAAGTAGTTAGGAAAATAGGGCCTCCTAAATATATGAGAAAGAAAAGGACCCCAACAATGGGTGGACTATTTTTTGTACCAGTAGGTATAGCTGTTGCGAGATTCGCAACTGGTGTTTATTCCGTTGAAGTCGCTGCTACTGCAGCGGCAACCTTTGCATTTGCTGCAATTGGACTACTCGATGACGCCTTAAGTTTCAACAAGCGAAAGTGTGGTATGGATCCATGGTTAAGATTACTTTTGGAGGTATCCATTTTCTTCCTTCTATCTTTAGACATATATGCACCGTCCCAGTCGCCTTTGGAGTTCGTTTTATCATCATTGCACTGATATTGAATTGTTTTTCATTGCAGGCGGCTGTTGGGGTTTGGTTTTCATATTGGTTGGATACTACGAATTTGTCGACACCCTATGGCATGTATATCTTCTTGTTAACTATTCTGAATCACATTAATCTGGTAACTAACATCTATTTCTCAACTGAAAAAGGGGGCTGAACTAATTGAATACAAGTATGAAAGTTGAGATACTCATTTTAGTGAGGGAGGCTTATCATACAAGAGTTTTTAAGGGGAACTATAGCGCTTAGATGACTATCTATATGTGTGTGTCAGCTCATTCTTTCTTTCTTTTTATTGAATTATTTTTTAATTCTGGAAAACAATATAAAAATTACAGATTACCCTCTTTCTTGTCAGTATAAAGGGTCTTAAATGAATCCGTGATTGAGTAAATAAACCACCATTGCTTCAGTTCATGTTTTAGGCTATCCTTTGAAGACCATACTTCATATTATCTTCTATTCTGGAATTATTCTTTTGGTTTTCGCTTATTTTGCAGGAAAATGCTGGTTCCTCTGCCGCTCGGCCTTCAGTACTTGGGAAAATTATACCTATTGTTGACTCCACTTTGTTTCGTTTCCATGGGAAAGGGGGCTAACTTAGCAGATGGTCTTGATGGTCTCGTTGCTGGGACTGCTGCATCAGCTTTTATTGGAATGGCGATTGCAGTGCTTCCGATATGCCCAGGTTAGTATAGATTTCTTTGAACAAGCCATGTCGTTACATTTCTCGTCGACTCCACTTTGTTTCGCTTCCATCTTATCATATTAGCCGACTCCGCTTTTTACGAGCATTACCTTGCTCCGCCATGTTATGTAAAAGTCTTCAACACTTGATTGTTATTTCTCAATCTCAATCAGAACTTAGTATATTCGGGGCAACAATGGCCGGGGCCTGCATTGGTTTCCTTTTGCATAACCAGTACAAAGCAGCTGTAATCATGGGCGATACTGGGTCCTCGGCCCTCGGTGGCGCATTAGCTGCAATGGCTGCTTGTACCGGAATGTTCTTTCCCCTATTCATTGCATCTGGCTTCTTCGTTTTGGAAGTATCATCAGTTATTATGCAGGTATTCAATATGCATATCAGTTCAACTTTCCGACTTTGCATAACACATCGTTGTCGGCCGCAGCTAGCAACGAATGTCGATAACCGTGCCTGTTCCGGGGCATGATAACTGACTGTGTTTTCTCAGGTGCTATACTTTAAATACACAAAGCACAATGAGGGAAGTGGACGTCGGTTGTTTAAAATGGTACCTTTGCATCTTCATCTGGAATTATGTGGGCACAAAGAGACCACTATTGTCGCTGGTGCTTATGCTGTTTCCTGTGTGTTGGCTTTATTTGCTGCTTACATTGGCCTTAAATCGGCATAAGAGCTCTGCCTCTCATCATTTTAACCCCATCTTCAAAATTTTTGTTCCCCGTTATTTCTATATATTTAATTCATCACTCCCTTTATGTGATTTTTGTTCGAATATATTTTGTTATCTAATTGTATTTTGCAATATTTGATTAGATTATAATTATTTATATTCACAATAGCTTAACGGTGATTTATATTCAACTCATTAATTAACTAATTCAAATCGAATATAATAATCGAAGCTGCCTTTTAAAAGTCGACACTTTAAAATATCTTTTTTAAAACTCTTTATAAATTTATATAAAAATATTAAGAATAAAATTTATTTCTTTAAAGAAAATTTAAACCTACCATTAGTCTCGGCCCATAAAAAAAATATTATCAAATTTTCTAAAGTTAGACACATAATCAAAAAATTTTGGCTTCATGCTATAGAATATGGTGCTTTATCAAGTAAGTCGATCGCGAGTTGGGTAATACTTAATTCGTGCTCATTAAAAAATTTTGTTGCTCGACTCAACTTGTTGCTCGCTAAGCTCGTTAAGAAATTTTGTTACTCGACTTGTTTCTCATTAAGCTCGTTCGCTTCGTTGTTCGTTAGGCTCACCGAATTTTTTATTTTATTTTTTTAACTATAAGTAAAATTTACTAATACTATATATAAATTAATATAAACATAAATTAATAAATTTAACAAAAAAAATTATCTAAAGAGCAGATGAAACAGATTAAAAGTCTAAACATCAAAATAACAATCCATAAATACATTAAAATAATAATTAGGATTTGATTTTGGGTGTAGTAAAATAATAATTATTAATTAATAAATTAATATTTTTAATTATTTATTAGAAAATTAATAGATTAATAATTTATCATCTTTTTTATTATCTATTAACAAATTAATAATTTTTTGAATGAAATAAGATAACTACTAAAAAGTTAAAAAAAATTAACGAACTGCTTGCAAACTTATCGAGTCAAGTTAGACTTTGTTCGACTTAACTCGTTAAGGTTTCTAGTCGAATTAACTCGATTCGAACTTTTACCGATTTTAACTAAGTCGAGTTCGAGTTGTTCAACTCATTAATCACCCTTACTATAAAAATTCATTATAAGGGTCATCTTATACGTTTTTCTATTTTCGTATCTCATTTTATTCTTTTACTACTATATAAAGAATGTTTGTTGATACATATGTTATGTAAATTAAAATTCTCATGATCTTATTTATTTGGACCTTAAAATCTAAATTTCTAAAATTTTAATCTTAAATCCTAAAATATAAATTTTAGAATCTAAATATCTAAAATTTAAACCTTAAGAAACATGATAAAAAATAATTATAATTGTAACTTTTTAGAAAAAAATACGATTAATTATTGTATTTATGCTTCACTTTGGGCCGAAAGAAAATAATATAAGGGTTTTTTGGCCCATTAGGACATTCGAGTTTTATATTTAACCCATTAGGGCACTCGAGTTTTTATTTTGGGATTTACGGTATTTTTTATAATGTTCATGGAACTTATCACGTCAAAATGATGAGTTTTAATAAAAAAAATATTTTTTATTCAAACATGTTACCTAAAGGTGACAAGTTCTAACAAGAAATATAATGTTTTTATTATGTTCGGATTGTTGAAGCTCAATTTAAACAACCGAAAATAAGCCAAGATCGGTGAATTGGGAAAGGTGTGTTTAGGGAGTAAGGAGAAAGAAAAGATAGACAATTTTGTACAACGATTTATAGTGGTTCGACTTCTTAACTAAGTCTACCTCCACTACCTTAGCTCCTCACTAAAGATTTTCCAATCACTAATTTGTTCTTTCTTTTTAAAGGACAAAGAGATAACCTTTATAAAACTCCCTAGCTTTTCAAAGGCTCAACTAGAACCAAAAATTCCTTTACAAGGAAAAAGATGTAAACAAAGAAAACCTCTAAAAAGGAAGGTGTTTACAAATAATTAAAACTCACAAGAACGAAATATTTATAAGATAATAGAAATAAAAATTGTAAAGCTCTTCTCTTGTGTTTGATTGCTTGGATTGGTGTTCTAACCCTTCTTCAAGTGTCTTGAACTTGTATTTATATGTTGGAATGAGTTTGTGGTCGTTTCTAGTCGTTGTGGATGATTTGGAGCCGTTGGGGATGTTTTCTTTACAAAATAAAAATGCCCAGTATAGAGGATATCGGTACACCTATAGGGAGTATTGGTACTACTTTTGTTATTTTTAAATAAAACTATATGTTACTAGCCGTTAGGCCTGAAGGTATCTGTTGAGCTATATTTTTATATAACAAATTAAGTAAAAAATGTTTTTGGACTTGAATTGAATTTATTCAAAGTTTTCAAAAATAATTCAAAATCCATTTAACTTGGAATTGAGCACAAAATGTTTTTCTAGACAAGAAGTATCGATATTGTTCTTACAGTATCGATACCTCATGAACAGTACCAATATTGTTCATATGGTACTGATACCAAAGGTAAGGGAAGATGATATATTTTCTTTCAAAATCTTGACAATCGAAGAAGACAACGATCATTGAGGCTAAGAATCTAAAGTCTCTCACTCTTGATGAGCTTTTTGGTTCTCTTCTCACTCATGAGTTGATGGTGAAGGAAGAGGAAGAAGATGAAGAGAAGAAAAACAAGAAAAAGAAGGTGGTATGCATTGCCTTCAAATCCACCAATGAGATCTATCAAGATTCAAATGAAGAGGTGGATGAAGACGGTGATGAAGAAAATGATTTTTTCATAATTTTTAGTAATAAATTTTGGTCAAAATTGGTTTTTAAATGAATATGATATGTCTCTAACAAATTAATATCAAATTTTCAAATGCTTTAATTTTACAAATTTTAATTTTTGACCTAATTTTAAATGTTTATGCATGTGGTTTAAAAAAGCAAATGATATCTCTCTAACAATTGATATCATTTTTTTAATGCATAACATTTGTTTTGGATAACTTTATGCACATGTACTTAATTTCAACAATTGGTATTGCATAAAGTATTTTATACTTGGATATATTTAATTTCATGTGCCTCTTGTAATACTCCAAACATCGGATCAGTGACTATAATGTAAGGATTTAAAATTTAGTTGTTTAATTTGAATAAATTCAAAACTACAAGGATTGGTTTTGGAAATTATGTTTAGGACTTATTATTAAGGATGGAAGAATGGAGGGGCATTATGGTTTTTTGTAGGAAATAAATTTAATATTCATTTCTCATAGAGATATTTATTAAGTGATGAATAGGGGAAAAATGATGAAGTCTAGAATTTTGGGTTCTCTACTCTTCTTCTTTTTCTCTTCCCCGTAACTCAATTGCTAAGGTAAGATATATTTCAAGTTGGTTATTCCTTTCATTTTTGGGTTGGTTTTGAAGCCTAGAGTGATATAGAAGCTTAAGGAAAGTTTAAGGATGATTAAAACTAAGAGATTAGTGATTTATTAGTAAATTAGTAAAATGGGGTTTTAAGTGATTTGATGAAATTTGATAAGTAATTGGATTTTAAAAGCATATTTGACTTGTCAAAGATGTAAATAAGAGATTTGAAGCCTTAGAAGTGATTGAAAACATGTTTGAAAATTTGGTGTGATTTTTAGTTTTAAGTGTTTTTTTTGGATAATTTGGATGTTATAAGGAGATTTATGAATGTAAGTTAGTTGGGATAAGTGATAGTGAGTTTGACGGCCTGGTTGGAGATAAGAGTAAGAGATTTAGGCGAAATTTGGGTAAAAATCGAAGTGGAATAAGTAAAATATGTGTAAGGGTATCGGTACTGGAAGAACTGTACCAATACTATAAGGTTAATTTGAGGAAAGAGTATGAATACGATGAACAATATCGATACTGATTGAAGTAGTATCGATAATGATGTGGAGGTATCGATACCAAGAGGAATGTATTGATATTGTAATTGAAAAATGGAATTTCATAATGCAAAAAAGGTATCAATACTGAAAAGGGTATCGGTACCATAGAAGAAAAGTATCGATACTGAAGAGGGTATCGATACCATAGAAGAGAAGTATCGATACTGTAGGAGGGGTACCGATAGTATTCAGTCTGAAATTTTAAGTTGATGTTTTATTTCGTTTATCTAAATACGAATTTGTTAATATTTGATGTATACTATTGGGAATTTTTGTTTGAGGGCTGAAATTGAAGAATTTATGATAAGGGCCCCTTATAAATAAAAAGGAAAAGTTATGATGAATTTTAAAAAGAATTCAAAAATAATAGTACTTTTGGGTATTATTATTTTGTATAAATGTTAGTAAGTATACTAACATTATATTTTATATTTGTATATGTGATTATGGATGCTGGTGTATGTCATAATCAAATTCTTGAGTCAATCAAACAAAAAGGCAAGGATTAGGTTACAAAATAGTTGGATTTCCTTAAGGCATACCATTGAGGCATACCAGATGAGTGCATTTATTATGTACTTATATGATATGAGGATGACTTGTTATGATTCAACCTCTAATGTTTTTATAAAAGCATATTTTATCGCATTTTGAAATATTTTCATAAAGTTTATGACTTGTAATGCATATGTGTGCTTCCATGGTATTCATAATGAGTTTGTGAATTACCATTTCAGCACTATGTGTGCATCCATGATATTCATAATGAGTTTGTGAATTACCATTTCGGCACTATGTGTGCATCCATGGTATTCATAATGAGTTTGTGAATTACCATTTCGCTACCTTAGTATAGTGTTGTTGTCACTACATAACATATGCTTTCGTTTAGCACTTAGGTGCAACTCATGTACCTTATATTCTCATTTGACATAAATTGGGCGAATAAATGGATACTTTGGAAAATTAATGATTTATGGGTACGATGGGCATATTAAATATTGTTTCACCTGTTATGTGAAAGAAATATTGTTTATCAAATCAGTTTTATGTATTATTTTTATTTTTATGATTAAATTCATATTTTAATAGTTTATTATATGATTATGTTTTGTTTAGACCTCTTTTATATTATTATTCCTCATTAAGTGATTACTTAGCGTGTAATGGTTTCACGCGTAGGTAA